TTTTTTGATGTTCTCACTGGGTGACGTGCACTCTCTCTTTGGATCTCAACATTTTCCCGCCAGATGGCCCAGACCTAGTGTTTTGGCAATAGTATGGCGCGCAAAAGTATGATGTCACTATTTCAACCATCAACAAATGCATGGAACTAAGAAAAAGCTTAATGTAAAGGAAAAGCTTTGAGAAGTGTCAGAATTACCCACGATGTCGGAATATACCGCGTTTACCCTAATTGACTATCATTTGTATATTTAGTGCAAAAGAGTGATTAATTATGTTGTTTCTGATAGAGTAGTGGTTCCCAAAGTGGGCGATATTGGCCCCTAGGGGCGTTGGAAAGATTTTGGGGGGCGATAAGGAAGAAGAGGGCCATAGGGGGGCGATATGGGGGGGGGCTATCTGAAGTAAATGTCAGAAGTTCGAACGTTTGTTAGACGATTTGTACACAACATGTGCAGCACACGACTACCAGTGATGTTTTTTCTGTTTTTTTTTAACCTAGCTCTCCTTGGTTTAGTACGTCTCGGACAAATTAACGGCCGGACTCGAGGCCGGTCTCACGGCCAATTTCCAAATTCAACGATCAAGGAATATCTCTCAAACTAATGAACTTAACTCGATGAAACTTGGTACACGTATTCATTTGCCCGTGACGTCCTTGGCTTCTAGTGCTGAAACTGTTAAAACAGCTGAAAAACATATGTGTTTAACTGTTATCTATTAAAATTTCAGCGTACTAAATTTCAAGAAAGTGGCGTATGTCTGTTGGGGGCGCTAGAAATTCACTAGGGGGCCAAAGGGGGTGCCAGCCTGAAAAAGTTTGGGAAACCACTGTGATAGAGGTTTGAAATATTTTTGTATAAATCTAACAAATTATTTTGTTACTTTGACTTGGTTTATTTATAGTAAATATTTTAATGCTCATTTATGAAACGCTTTTAACCCTTTAGCGGGCAAGCATTGAAATATCCAGAAATTAAAAGTTCAGAAACCATTACAAGAAAGTAAGAAGTAGTATACAATATATTTATTTCTACGAATTTTTGCAAATTTTGCCTATTGAAGGTTTAAATCGCACTTGAAGAATTCAATAAATGCGATCAGGACACAACATTTTTCTTTATAATTAAAATTCAGTTTATGCAAATGAAAAATTAGAAACATAAAAATTTAATTTGATTAAATTTAATCAAGTTGCCAAAATGAATAAATATATACGGTATATTTATACTTCCACCTTTTGAAGAAAATGCGGAAAGAGCGTCAGTTCCATTGTCCGAGTCAAAACCTTCATTTAAATGCTCATATTTAAATTTGTGGACTTTGCAGTTGGTGATGCTATAGATAGAACGATGGTCAGATAATTAGTGATTGACTGAGGCATTATAAGGATGCCTCAAAAAAAAACAGGAAGCCGTGGTGAGGCTTTTTGTGACGCGATTTCAAGTGATCATATATGGTAACTTACCCGTGAAAGGGTTAAAATAAAGCAAATGATGTTTATTTATATCCATAAGAGGGATTAAACAATTGCAAATCAATTTATTATCCTTTAAATAAAAATCTTTGCATTGAAACTCTTGGACGATGTATCTACCACAATAGTTGTACCATAAAATGGGGTAACTTAGACCACTTTTTTATAAATGATGCCATTTTTTTACTAGCTAAATTAAACTTGAATTGAAACATGCAAAATACAGGCCTATACTCTAGCTCCACTCACCATAAATTGCTGGCTCCTGCCTTTCATAGTTTTTATGTAATTTCAAAAAATCAATTATATTTTTTGCTAAAATAACTCCAAATAAATCCAGGTTTTGGTGCATTGTAGTAGAACTCTTCTAGTTACATATGAAAATGACAAACTTGAGGAAAGTGTCATAGTTTGCAAATGGGGGGCGCCGCCCCATAATGAGGGAAATGTGACTACCTAATGGCAGCCCTGATGCGGTAATATTGACTGGCTTGGAAATTAAGTTAAAATTACCATATATAAAACTCTGTAGAGTCTGAAACATAGAGAAAAAACATAAATAGGCTGTCAAACATAAAATATGTTATATATGGTAATTTTATATTAACTTTCAAGCCGGTCTATGTTACCCCGTCACGGCTGCCATTAGATGGTCAAAGTTACCCCATTGGGGGGGCAGCACCCCCTATTTGCAAATTATGACACTTTTCTCAAATTTGTCTTTTGCATATGTAACTAGAAGAGTTCTACTACAATGCATCAAAACCTGGAGTTATTTTGCAAAAAAAAATAAAAAAATTGGAAGGGGTACTCTAACAGGCTTTAAAAAATAGCTTTTTTTTGTGGGTCACATTTTAATTTTTTTAACCTATTAGATATGCAAACTTTTTAAATCTTTCTATTGTGTTACGTAGCCTCAGTATTAGGTCTTTAATGTCCATTGACAAAATTTTTCTATGTCAAATGGATTTTGAGTTTTGGGGGTTTTTGTTAAAAAACCAAAAGTGGTCAAAGTTACCCCGGGAGTCAAAGTTACCCCAGTTTATGGTATGCAATTTGTAAATTATAATTCTAAATAGATACCAACTTTTTCAAATTAATTCTGAAAGGGTAACGTCTATTAAATTCTAATACGGTACTATGGATCATTAATTTTAGCATCATATTTCTAAAAATCAAGTATTGAATTTCTTTTAATTTAAAAACCTTCTTTTACATCAAAAACAACACATTTTTTCTTACAGCTCCTATGATGATTTACGATCTCACTCATATAGGTAAAAATTTTAAATTTAACAATTTTGTCATTTTGGAGACTCCATGCACAATTTTGTAATGACTGATGCAGTAATTTTTTATTAAGTGAAAATTTTTTCACTAAGCAAGGTAAATGTAATCAAAATTTTTTATTGTTAATTGATTTTTTCATTACCTGGAGCCTTTGCTAACCAAGTTTCTACTGTAAATGCAATTTTACGGGTGTTCCTTATTACCACAGGGGGGTGTCCCTTATTACCCCATTTTGCGGAAATGGCCACCATTTTTATGACCACCCAATGAGATAGGCAAATTCTGTCAATCACATTTTTAAGCCAACACTAGTGTGCAACTTTTATGTAAGTAAAATTTTTCAATGCATTAAATATTTTTTCTGCTGCAGACCTTAGCAGAGGTACTTTTCCAAAATCTCACTTTTCACACTTTTTTTCAGGGATTTTTTAGAGGTAATAAATGTATGATTTCTCAACTTGCTTTATGCCGCATAGATAGTAAAAATGTTGAACTTTACACCACTATTTTTAGTTTTGCAATATTTTAATTAATTTAGCTGCTACAACATTTCTACAAAATGTTGAACTGTCCCTTATTACCCTGCCTGTCCCTTTTTACCCTATTTGATGATATTCCATTTTCAATCTGCACGGTGCACAGTAAGAAGTGTCGGAAAACAATTTGCCATGCGCTGTTACTAGTTATAGTTCAAACATGGTGTGCGGCAACAATACTGCCATGCGGCATGGCGGCAATGTTTTTAGTGTATTAATAACCATAGGTAGGTATATAGTTTGATCCTTGCTGCTGGCAAAAGCTGCAGCTATGCTATGACATACGTATTATCTTCTCACAATGCCTTTAGGTGTTGATGCTTGTAGTGTCCACATATCCATGTTCATTTCATATGTGTAATTTCTTGATTGTCACAGAAGAAATTAGGCAAGGACAATTATAACAAGTTAAATTATCCACATGCATTGGTATTTTTTGTCTAAGTTATATACAGCTTCTTTTTGTATTTTTGTATTTACAGTTTAGACTATGCACTGCACAGGTTTCCTCATTTTGATACCAAAACCAGGTTTTTAGGCCCAATGGCACTCACTAAAAATTATTTAACTTTTTAAATTTTTGTCAAAAATACAAATATAAAAATATTTTAAGGCCTATATCTATGCAAGACAATGAAGTTAGGAACAACTTAGGTTGAGGATATCATATTAAATGCCCTGAAAATGCCAATTTATTGCTGCGCAGATGCTATGATTTGACAACCTGGTATATCAGAAAAATTTTCCATAGTAAATCATAGGAAATAATAATGTTGTGGGGGTGATTTTTGAAAATTGTATGCAAAACTTACCATCGTTCTTGATTTTGACAACAGAGAAAAAGCCAAGGTTATAGGAACATCTCAAATTGTTTGAAAGAATAGTGTTTTTGTCCCATCTCAAGTGCGTGCTCAAGCTTCTCACAGATGCTTGAGGTACTGTACTGTCAACCGGGGCTACTCGGGACGGGCAGGGTAACTCGGGACAATCCTCTGACACGGCGTAAAACTGTTTTAGTAGCAAAACTAATTGAAATATTGCAAAACTAAATATAGTGGTGTAAACGTCAACATTTTTCCTATCTATGCAGTATAAAGGAAGTTCGAAAATACTACATTTATTAGCTTTGAAAAATTCCTGAAAAAAATTGTGAAAAACAATATTTTGAAAAGTTACTTCTGCTAAGGTCTGTAGTAAAAAAAATATTTGCCATATTAAAAAATTTTACTTAGATAAAAGTGGCAGACAAGTGTCAGCATGAAAACTTTATTTGCGGAATTTGCATACCTCAATTTCCGCACGGCTGGGCTACTCGGGACACCCCCCGGGGCTACTTGGGACACCCCCAAAAACACATTTACAGTAGAACCTCAGTTAGCAAAGGCTCCAGTTAAGGAAAAAATTGATTAAAAACAAAAAATATTGATTACATTTACCTCGCTCAGCAAAAAAAATATTTTCACTTATCGAAAAATTGGTGCATCATCTATCATCACAAAATTGTGCATAGAATGTCATATATAGAATTGTGCACCAGGCATCATAGAATGAAAAGTAATTGACCTAAACTGTGATTTATTTCTCCAAAACATATGATAGTTGTCACTGAAACATTCCTTTCTGTTTCAGGTATGTTTTTCACAATATTTTTTTATAGTAAATTCACTTAACCCGATTAAAATGGTGTGAAATTACAAGCCATCCTGTAAGCTAAGCTTAGAGGTACAGAAAAAATGCTATAAGGCTGCTGATATGAAGCTTGTAGTGGACAAGGTTGTTGTAAATGCTCAATGGCATGTTCATGGATACGGTAATATTGCATCAATAATACAGTAATATTGCATCAATAATACGGTAATTAATGTATATGGTAATATCATATCAATAAAGAAAAAACAAGTAAAAATCATGGAAAATGTCATTTATTCTACCTCTACATCATCTACAATGAAAGAGGAGGACTTCAGAGTGCTGTTAGTAATGGATGAGTACGCTCTGCATGCTTCAAATGTTTTAAAATTAAGTTTTATTCCAAGTGTCCCGAGTAGCCCCGTCAAACGGGGCTACTCGGGACACTTTTTTTGCTTCTGGCATCTTACGAATAGCATATGGAATTTTTTTGGAGAAGCTATGCGATAGCCCTTGCAAAGAGCTTTGAAATGAGGCTAAACTTGTTTATGAAGTGTTTCATGGTAAGAAGTTATGAATGAAAAACTTTTGAAATTGTCCCGAGTAGCCCCGGTTGACGGTATCCATTAAACATATAGATACATCAGAAAAGTATCTTGAGACCTGTGAGATTCTTAACTGGCATTTTACAGAGGTTATTTTAGAAGAAGGCCATTTTCTAGTGCATCTGTGACATTACATCAGGCCAAAATATTGTGCTACATGAACTAAAAATCCATCTTCAGATCCTCATTGGGAATGAAAATGTGATAAATTTCATTTTTTATTATACAAAATCTTTGAGTCTTGCCTGAACTCTTGTTTAAACTGGCCAATTTCTAATTATATATTCACATGGTTTACTATCTAGCATATTGTTTCAGGTGTTGAAATCCCTGGATGGTGATTTAACTCTGAGCGATGATGGAGCTGAATATATGGAGAGCCTTCTGCTCCGTGTTCTGGCCATGCTCTGTTCCTCCCCTCCACCGCACTCTGTACAGGTAAATATTTTCATACATAATGGAATGATAAATCATTGTAATGCTCTATACATGTACTCTTTGGTGTAGATGTCTATTCATTTTCAGTCCAAGCTGTATAATATTTTCAATACTTAATTAATTTATACTTTTATCAAACTTATTTCACACAATTATCAGAATTATTATCATAAATTTTAGTTCAAATCAAACTTGAACCAGAGTACTTGTTCTGTATTATTATTAAATGTGCAGGTAGCTCTTCTCTCTTGTTTCTATACAAAAAATCCTTGTTTTTAGGATCTGGAAGACCGGGTGATGCGTGTGTTCCCCAGTCCCCTTGACAGATGGGCAACAGGTGATGCCCAGGCTGCAGTTGAGAACAGAAGGAAGAAGGGCAGTGCTGTTGTGTTGCCTCTAGACAGAGTGCATCCTTTATTAAAGGTATTCCTGTCAATGCAGTTTCTTTGTGACTAAATGAAAGCCAAAATTTTCATTGTACATCTAATGAGGAATATGTATAGGTACTTCAACAGCGTAAAGGTGTTTGGGCTTCTCTTTCTTCAAAATGTCTTTATATTTCATATACTGGTAACTGTAAAAGTTTATAACTTGGTAAAAAGTATCTTAATAATAATTATTACAAAATAGTTATCAGAATTTTTCAAAGCATTAGCTTTGGCCAAATGCCATTGACAATTGAAAGATTCTCTCTGAACCATTTATGGTTTTTATTGATTTTATACCAATTCATTATTCATTAATTTAATTCATTTATTTGAAAAAATTAGTTACCCCATAGGCCCATACAAAAAGTGTGCTAATTCCTAGTAAAGTATTGTTATTTGTTGCATTTCTTTGACAGTTTCGTTTAAATGGAGCATTAATAGTAATTGAGATTTCCTGTGTTTACTTCATCTTTTGATGTATGGGTTCTCTTTCTGCAGGAAGCACTACAGAGCAGAATCGACATGCAAGTAACGCTGTATATGAGTGCCATCTTGGAATATGTGTCCTTAGAGATATTAAGAGTAAGTTAATCTAATTTCAAGCCTAAGCAGACTCCATTTTACTTATACTGTTTGGAACATAATAGATTTATAGATATTTTCCATGAACTTATTTGTGAAACCTGGCACACTTTTCAAATTTTGGTCCAGGTTATTGTATAGGTATATATAATTTCTGTTTTTTTTTTTTCCTTTATAAGGCATTCAAAAATTATTTCCTAGGATTAATAGAGCAATGTTACCGTCTCTGGAAATCATAATTTCATACATTCCATCCAAAGGCTTTTTTGACAAAATACATGCTAATGTCTCCACCCGATGTGTGCAGCTGGCCAACATTTATGTAACTGACATCAAAGGCAAAGAAGTCACTCAGGCAGACATCAGAACAGCAATGTGTGCTGATCAAGTGAGCTCAAAATTTACAGTGATTCTTTTCTTACTTGATGTTAGGAATTGTAATTCTTATTGCCTCCTAAATTATCATGTTAACATTGAAATTTGAGTCTTGGAACTTGCCCTTGCAAGAAAACCTAACATAGGTATTCTTTTTGAAAGAAAACTTTTCCTAAGATTGTTGAAGAATTTCAGCTTTAGTATTTTTCCTATACCATCGTGGTTATAATACATTGAAAATTTAGTGGATGTTCAATTGTAAGTTGAAAATACACAAACTTGAAGAAGAAAGCTGTTGATAATTATTGGTGAATTTTTTGTGTATAATATTATTAATATTTGTAAGAGGGTAAAAATTTTATCTTTTACTTGCAGGTGCTGATGGACCTGCTGTGCCAAAGTGAGAATGGTGACATACCCAAGACGAGCATATGTGAAGAACCGTTGCTGAGAGGCGACACTTCCTTAACTTATGACCAGCTTGTCAAAGATCTCATTGAACATGAAAAATCGTATATTAGGGAACTAAACTTAATATCTAAAGTAAGTTTTAGCCAAAAACGGTTCTTGTAGCTCCTACATTGATGTTTCGTCCTATTTTTTGGGAGCTTGATTTGTGTAAACCCATTCTCTATGTTCATATGCTACAATCATACTAAAATGTATATTGGCTGTAAAAAAATTTGATACACACATTGTGTAATGGAAAACAAAATATTACTTATTATATAGATCTCTAAATTTGCATTTAGTTTGGTTTAGAATTCATTCTTCTAACCTGAAATAATTTTTCTTCAGTCTTCTTTCTGTTAGTGATAGATGCTGAAGTTTATCTTGAGGTTGTAGAGGCTATCAAGAGGAACGCACTTTTATGACTGAGATACTACAAGGTCTTTATTTTTCTAGTGTTTCACTTGACCGTACCAGGATCTACTATTATCTATGATAATAGGAATCTTCCTATTATCTCTGATAGTAATAGGAATCTGGTGGTTACTATTAAACCCTGTGCCCACTAGCTGTAAAGCATGTTACCCTGTCATCAAGTACAAATAATGTTCGATTAATTCACCTCCGTTTTTCTCTTTTTTGATAAGTTTTTAGTCTTAGTTGTGATGTACAAGTTCAAATTGATGGTAATATCTGGAAAACTTGAGCTCATAATACAGTGTGGTTAATTTTTCTTTGAATTTCAGGTTTTCCGGAAGAAACTTCTTCAGATCCCAAGTGTGCGCGACTGTCATCGGAAAACTTTGGATGATATTTTTTCCAACATTGACGAAGTGTATGATTTTAGTGTGAATTTATTAGGCTCTCTTGAAGACACCATAGAGGTCACAAAAGAGAATGAATCGCCTGCTATCGGCAGCTGTTTTGAGGAACTGGCTGAGGTGAGAACCCATTGTTGTATAAATTCTGGACGCATGTCGTATTATTGTGTGTCATCTACAGTTATTTTTCGAAACACCCACTTTTTAATTATGTAAAGGTTTTTTGGGGCTTGAAGTAGGAACTGTTTCATCCTGAATTTTCTGTAAAAAACGTACTATCCCAATGATAAGCCACTTCTAAACAGCTGAAATCATTAAGTTTAATTATCACTACTAAATCTTCAGTAGGCATTTCTACATAATTAAACATAGAAATTACCTTTGTCAGCTGCCTCTTAGTGACAGTTAACGGTGTCCTGAGGGTGTGTTTGTTTTTACAGGGCGAGGAGTTCGACGTGTATCTAAGATACTGCTCTGACGTGGTGCCCGGCGACCGATGTCAGACTGCGGTACAGGAACTGGTCAGATCACCTGAGGTGTGGGACGCTCTTTCTAATATCTCCTATGGTGGCAGCTTCAGGGATGCCGTGCTCTACTACTTACCTCGTCTCCTACACTTACCTGTGCTTCATGTCTTCACTGATCTGAAATACATAGAGGTATGTTTTCTATGCTATCGTTAGCAAATATTTAACTTTGGGATAGCTGATTACCTTACTGTCTTTGAATGAAAATATCGAATACTCAAAGGTATTGATAGCAAAATGATGAACTTACATTTTATGAGTTGTGCGAACCAAAACCTCTTCATGAGGCTTAAGTACAATCTCTCTAAAATGGCTGGCTTCTTCAGTAGAATATCACTTGACAGAGCAACTATTTAATACTCACTGACAAAATAGTTCTTCGTTGAAGTTGCACTCAGATGATGTATATCTAATTTATCATTAATATTGTTTATGATTGTTGTTATAAATCATTAATATTGTTTTTGATTCATATTTCCAGGACTTAACGCTGTGTGCCGAGAGCGTTGGTGACAGCAGCAACAGCGAGAGCTTGGAGCAGGTTAAAGGGCTCCTATGCCCGCTCGTCAACCAGCTGGAAAGAATTGTCTCGGCTCCTGATGCTCCACTTCATCTAAAGCGCAGGAAGGCGTAAGTATCATAGTATTTCCTGTTTTATCATCCAAGTATATTTTGTGTATTAGTTTTTTATATTTTCAATGGATTTTTGTATGTCATTGCATATTGGAGGTTTTGGTTTTGGTCCTCTACACATAGGTAGTTTCTTTCTCTCATTACCCAAATAAAGATAGTTATATTCATCAGGTTATCATCTTCTTATAAGTCATTCCTGACTCATTTTTATGCATTTGTTTTATTGCCGTTTCTACCGAGTCGCTTTCATGATGGCAATTGATAAAAATTTTCCTTATTTTTTTTTAAATTTAAAGATCTAATATAATCATGGGACTATCAACTAAACTGCCTCGTATATCACTTATATTCTTGGATCAGGTCTGAAGTGAATGTACGCGCAAGTGGTCCGTTACGTCGACAACAAGCGCTGCTGAAGCTGAACGAGACCCAGCGCTCTATAGAGGGCTGGGAGGGCAGGGACATAGCGCAGTGCTGTAGCAGCCTCATACTTGGTGGGTAGCTGCTTCAGTGTCTCTCTCTCGAGGAATTTAAAAATAAAGAAGATAGCACAAAAAAAAAGGAATTATGAGAAATTTAAAAATAAAAAATCATTGCACAAAAATTCACTATACCTCTGTGAAATCTTTGTTTTTAAATTCTTTGTAAACTTGTGATGCAGGCTATTAAGTGATCATGGTTAAAAATGTCTTCAGTTGATTCCTTGATTAATCTTGCTATATGATCAATGTCCTTTGTGAGCGTTTTTCATTTTCATGGCTGCTGCATGCAACTAGTAAATATCAATTAAAAATGCAGTAAAAATCTTTTGCTTTCTTAGTGATGTCATTATGAGAATTTGGAAAAAAGTTGCGTTCTTCTACCAACCACTCATCAGCGAGATCTCAGAAGAATTTTTTTTCAAAAGTAGCTGTTGGCTGCTGAGGTATTTATATTGTTTAAAATTCATTAAACGATCTATGAACACACGTTTCTTGTTTTGATCATGCTTGGGAATGTGATATTGAATGGTATGTAATTCAAATATTTATATCTAATGAATGTTTGCCTATGAATGTTTGCAGAGGGCGATTTAAAACTTGGCTATCCCAGCAAAAAACAGACTGACCGCCACGTCTTCCTGTTTGATGGTCTCATTGTCCTGTGTAAACAACACAAGGTGGGTCTTTGATGTTGATCCACATTTTATGTGCACTGAGTCACTGACTGATTCATTTTCTATGAAAAACCATGAATATCTAGTGTACTTTTGTTCTGAGTGATATTTTGTTGCTCTCTAATCATCTGAAACCTAGAGTTTTGGAGAAATATTTTGGTGCTGCTATGGAAAATTTAAAATACTATTATAATATTCAATTGAGAATAATTTATTGCATTTTTTGAAGGCCAAAACACCAAGTGTCTGAAAAAATTTAATGCTAAACGGCGTCAAGAGGAATGAAAAATAAATAGATTTCTATGATAATGAGACCACTCGTATGATGATAATAATTATAACATTACAATCATTGTTGTCACTGGTATGGTAAGAATTGACTTTTCTCTGTTCTGCAGGTCGGCAGCTTTCGTTTCAAGGAGAAGTATGTCATCAAAAATATTGACATCGTCGACAGAGAAGATACAGATGGTGAGAATGTCAAATTATTGTATGCATATATTTTTTTGTTTCATAGGCTTTCCTATTATTTTCAAATTTGGTAACTAACTTAATCCTGTAGGTGATCAATACAATTTATTTTTTGTTACGACAGTAAAATAAAGTACAATGAATCCACTCCATATTGTTATTGGTTCCCTCCATTTGCAGTAATGAGTTTTCACGTATCAAATGTAGACCTCCTAATAGTAAACCATAATGCTCGTCTTGATATTAAAAAATACTAAAATACTGTTGAAAATGTTGATAAAATTTTTGTTAGGTTATTATCATTACCATTATATTGCTGATGAGCAGAAGTGGGGCACGCGTTTGAGGTGGTGCCACAAGGACAGTCGCAGTCAAGTGCCTTGCTAGTGGCCAGGTCAGCACAGGACAAGCACAACTGGATGGCTGCTCTCGTCATGATCCGCTGCAGAGGGTCAGTGCAGCAGAAAATTGTCTCATTGTGATTTAATTTCTTTTGTTATTTCATTTTTTCATTGTTACATGTATTTTTTGAGTTTTGGTGTACACCATTGCAAAACACATCCATGTGACAACATTTCTTCTCGCTTCGAGTCACCGACATGTGGAACAGCCTCCCTGATAGCATCGTTGAAGCTCCGAGTATGAACATCTTCAAAAACAGACTAGACGAAGCTATGCAGGAGCATATGTTCAGTCTTAAAATGCCTAGCAAATTACGGACCAGGCAATAAGTCCAGCAGCTATCTCAATCAATCGTCAGTTATGGAAAGATCGGGTTCCAAAGGCCGGATCCCTTGTGAATCAAGTCACGAAAAGTTCAAGAATCGGCAACAGGCCGTGGACCTATTTCTTCAACGCCGACACTTCTATTCTATTCTATTCTATTCTAAAATGTCCCTGTTATCCCAATTTTCTAGGTATTCATACTGTATAAATGTATATTGGTAAATACTCAACACTATCATTATCAATATCAATACGTTATGACATTAGTTCTTTCCTTGAGCAGACATGGTGTCAAATTCAAATCATAATAAAATGTTGTACATGTTCGTATGTCTCATGATTAACCTGCCACTTATATGCTGAAATTGCTTTTGATGTTCTTTTAAATTTGATTTTGTTTAGTTATTATTTAATTTTTCTGTGCAGGCCTCTAGAACGTGCATTAGACAGTATCCTGCTGGAGGAAGAGAAGCAACATCCTCTGCAGCTCCCTGATCCTGAGGTGTATCCCTTCAGTGTACAGGACTCGGAGGAGAACATCATCATAGAGGAGAGAAAGGAGGCAACTCCTCTCATCAAGGTAATGCGCCCTGTCACAAATATTTATAAATTCATCATATTTATAAGTTGATGATATTTATAAATTTATGATATTTTTAAATGGATGAAGAATTACAACTAATACAACTGCGCCTTCAAAATAGTTATGCATTTGCAAATGTATACTAAATTTTATTCATTTTTTTATTCGTGCTGTTTTTTGGGATTATATTAGTTCTCTGATAGATTATTTTTAATCTGAGTACTGACTTCAAAAATTTCTATTTTATGATCAAGCATAGGAATTTGATTAGGTTAATTATGAAAAATTTGAGTAGTTTATCTACGGATAAATCTTCAATAATATTTATTCAATTTCAGAGTGTGATTTCGGCTCTAAAATTTCTTTCGAGGGTATGAAAATACACTAAAGTTATATTCTTGTGTCTTCTGAAATTGAGGTCAATATAAATTTTAATTATGGCTGCAACCCACTTGCTACTATCTCTTGGTTCACGATTTTCCACTAATTTGTGCTTCTTTAAAAATCTCGTCATTCTCTGATTCTTGTGTTTGATTTCAGGGAGCGACTTTAATCAAGTTGGTGGAGCGATTGACGTATCACATGTACGCGGACCCCATGTTTGTGCGCACCTTCCTCACCACCTACAGAAGTTTCTGCTCGCCCACCGTGAGTTACTCTTGCTCATTCATTTTTCTAGATTAAAATATAATAATCGGTCGCCATAAAGAGCTAATTTATACAGTGTCCAATTTAAATTTGCGACAGATAAGGCACGGGGGTTAAAGGCACAAATGGTGATAGGGAACAACGTGTGAACGTTAACTTGTGCAGGTATATGTTTGATCTAGATGCATTGAGGCAATCGAAAAAAAATCTACGTTAATTTAAGTGAAATTTCATTTTTTTTTGTGCTTAATTAAGCGTTGAGTAACCCGGTAGCTCGTTGATTGAGGTGTTAAGCAAACGGCAACCTGATTAAACTGAGTAATTTTCTGGGCAATGTATGGTGGTGCACTGAACTTGAATGATGGTAACTAGATGACTGCAATGCAGGAGTGAAACTCTTGAAAATTTTCGTGAAATTTTCTTGATTTAAACAAAACATTAAAACTTTTGCAAATGTTTTTGTGCTATTTCCTTGCTAATGATGGCAATAAAAGATTATAACCCTCGCGAAGGCTGTAATGCAATTTTCGTGAATTTCATGTAGCAACCGTGACGAAATGGCGCGTGATTTAAAATTTTCACTCTTCAGGAACTACTGGAGCTACTAAAGAAACGGTTCGCCATCCCCGAGCTGGACTGCTGCGGGTCTGGAGACGCGGAGAACATGAGTTGCTTAGAGGGCGCCACCCCTGAGGACTCCAACACAGCGCTGCTGCACAGAGAGGGCGTCAAGCGCTTCAGGAAGGAATATGCCCAGCCCGTACAGTTTAGGTGCGTCCCACCCCCGTATTTAGAAAATGTCATTTCCCTGATTATATACAAGTGTCTCTAAATTTACTAAAATTTAATGAAACTTCACCTACTTGACTGTGATTAAATTTAATTGGCTTAAACCAGAAGGCATCATCACCTGGTTTTCATGTCATAGCTTTATATATCATGTCTGACAATATTTATTAAAATATTAATCACCTAATTGACTGTGATTGAATGCAGTAAGTTTGCACAGTAACGCGCTAATTACCTCTTATTAATGGCATATGTGCAGAGTTTTAAATGTTTTACGACATTGGGTGGACTATCACTTTTACGACTTCGACCGCGATGCTGAGCTGCTCAAGAACCTCACCGACTTCTTAGAAAGCGTGCAGGGCAAGAGCATGAGGAAATGGGTGCTCTCCATCACTAAAATTATTCATAGAAAGGTGAGTAAAGATAGTTCTTTTTCATTCACTCAAAATTATCTCGGAAAATTTTAGTGTCTCTGTACGTACTTAATTTATGAGAACAGTTTTCCCTAAACGCTTTGAAATTCAATGGATCTTAACTATTGATATCTGACATCAGAATTTAATTTTTTCAATTTAATTCGTTCCTAGATTTGATCATTGGCTGTCAAAAATCGATTTATTTTTGAGCTGAAATATTTCTTCAAATTTTATTTATTGACTACATATGACTGCTGGAAGTAAAATCAAGTGATACGGTATCCCGTGCCCTATTTTTTTGTCTCTTTATAAATCTCATTTGAAGCTTTGCTCATCTGTAACTAATTTTTTTACTTGAAAGAGAAACACGAGTATTTTAATATGTTACTTTATGCCAGCAATTTTCTTATTAGCTTGTTGTCCTTAATTGTATTCAACTCTGATGCATTTCTACTTCTGCGCAGCGTAATGAGGAGCCTCGTGAGATCACATTTAGTCAGAACCGCACTCCACCGTCTCCAAAACATCACATGCGGATAGATGAGAAGGATTGGGAGAACATCCTACCTGCCTCAGTGGGAGGAATCACAGCCACAGGGGACCTCATCAAGCCTTTACTTATGTTGCATCCAATTGAGATCGCCAGACAACTCACATTGCTCGAGTTCGATCTGTACAAAAGCGTCAAACCCTCGGAACTCGTCGGCAATGCCTGGACCAAGAAAGATAAAGAACAACGCTCCCCTAACTTACTCAAGATGATACACCATACCAACAAGGTGGGAAATATTCAACGATATAAAAACAGAAGGTTTTTTGCACTCCAAAGCTTTGAAGTGGTTATTATTTCTGCTTTCAATTTGCGTCTATAAGAGCTATATTGTTTTTATTGTTATTTCGATTCATTTAGCTTATCCTCAACTTGAAGTATTTGTTTCAATTGATTTCTATGATATGTATAGAGACTTTTTAACTATTAATAATTTGTTGAGTTATCCTAGGCATTATTCAGCACACAAAAGATCAAAATTATCAAGGTGATTTCTTATTCCGTCACATTTTCTGATAATTTCTGTATTATCAGTAGCAATGAAACATTCTATGTTGCCGACGATCATATCTGGCACGCTTTTATTTCTGTATTATCAGTAGCAATTAAACATTCTATTTTGCCGACCGTCTTACGTAACACGTTTTTTTAGGTGACTCGGTGGGTCATGAGGTGCATCATCGACTGCGAGAATTTTGAGGAACGCGTGGCGGCCATGAGCAGAGTTGTGGAGATCATGATTATGTTCCACGACCTGAACAACTTCAGTGGCCTCTTCGAAATGAGCAGCGCCTTGGAGTCGGCCTCTGTACACAGACTTGAGCTCACCAAAGCCGTCAGTTGTTTGCCCTCGTTGTTCTGTGTTCATTAATGATCTCCCGAAAATATTCATCCAATATTTCCGTGATAACGAAATACTTCATCATGTTATCCCTTATATTTGTTTATTATTAAATAGCTGATATTATTTGCTATAATTATCTGCCAGTATAACTCAGATGAAGTGTATTCTAATTGTATTCCCATTTGCTTGGATGTTTTCTTAACTTCCTTGATCCCTGATACGCTGACTGCCCACTGTCTGCCTTCTTGATGATGGAAGCAGCAATGTATAAAAGAAATTAAATTTCCTTTTCTATGCCCAGGAGGTAAAACGTCGGATGCCTGTAACTCAAAAGTCCGTCTATGAAGAAGCCATGGAACTTGGCAAGAATCACTGTAAAAAATATCTTGAAAAGTTGCGTTCAATCAACCCGCCTTGTGTTCCCTTCTTTGGTAAGTCATGTGTTCTTTTCTCTAAGCACTTATATCATCGTGGTAACGTAATTGATTTTGATCAGCAGTCTTCTTAGAAATTTTTTGAAAATAAAATCAATAAACCTCCTTAATTCTCTTCTACTCAAATAGCTAGCTATCTCATAGACAATTTTTCAGTAATACTGTAGAGAGTAAAAATTATTTGCATCCAAATAACAGTTTGAACATAACTTCTTCATATATATAATAATCATAGTTTTCCTTCTATTGTAAAATTAATTCATAGAACATTGAAAACTTGAAAATCGTGGTCCGCTGCATATTTCATACATGCTCCGCCCATTAATCAAAGGTGACGTCCCATACATTGTATTTCGACAACCCTTAAAAATATCTCGATTATTTCCAGGCATGTACCTCACCAATATCATGCACATCGAAGTGGGCAACCCCGACTCTCTGCTTCCCCACAACCTCGTCAATTTCAGCAAGCGTCGGAAAGTTGCTGAAATCACCGGCGAGATCCAGCAGTACCAAAACCAATCCTATTGCCTGCAGATAGAGCCTAACATCAGGGTGAGTACTGTTCACTTTTGTTGTGATTGCAACACCATTTTAGCCTTACTATTCTATTTTTGTTATTTTTTAACCTATGAATACTTTCAAAAACTATGCGAGCTCACAGAGACTTTCGTGTGGTGGTAGCCGCGCGGAAGCTGCTTTTGTGTCACGACATTTTCATTGGCCCTAATCAATCAAACGTTTCCTTCTTGCTGTAAATATCTACATATTAGTAAACTTATATTATTCAGTGTGCGTAATTTATTCTACATAACAGATTTGCAGTAATAAGCATTTTTACTGGTACATAAGAAGATTTGAGTAGAATAGTTTTTAAAGTTATTCGATGCTGTAGCGGTAAATAGAATTCAACCGGTATATTTCTGCCAACAAGAATTTGTCAAGACTATTTAGTCGTTACTTCTGCCAACAAGACTTCTGTGCGTTTTCGACTTACCAACATTGTTAAAAGTTGAAACAATTTCATATGTTCTCGTGTGTTTCAATGCGTTTTTTTTTTTTGTTTTCCTGTAAAATAATCTAATCTGCATTCATGATATTTGTTTTCTTCAGAACTTTCTCGAGACCTTGGATCCTTTCGAAGGCATGAGTGACGGTGACATCAATAACTATCTTTATAATAAATCTACGGAAATTGAACCCCGGAATCTAAGAAAGCCACTTATAAAGGTAATATTCATTGTTGATGTTCTTGCCTGAGATTTTAATGTATACTTGATATAAAAAATTTTAAATCCTCTGAACGAGAATGATATGTAAAGTCTAGTTTCAAATACTAAAACTTTATTAATACAATTTCATCGTTTTGTTTTGATCAACAACAAATCAACATCTAAATTGTTCAATGTTCATCATTCACCTATTATTATTGAAGTCAACCATGCGCAAGTTTCTATGTTGAATTTCAAAAAGCATCATTGTTCATTAGATTGCGTTTATGCACAGGAGCGACGGTGGCCACATTTATCATTGAAGTCTCCAGGCATCAAGCCTCGCAACAGTCGTTCGCTGCCTAACCCCCTGCCCAGCGTGTTCTCCACTCACAAGGAGAGCCAAGGATTAGACGGCGGAGAAGATACTCCACATCAGCTCACCCCCACCACTCCATCTACACCTTGCACCCCTCCTCCCGCCGCCAGCACCACCCCTACCTCATCGTCCTCCATGATGTCATCCCTGAACATGGCTGGATCAGCCTCTACGTTGCCGCACGGTGCCTCGCTGGCCTCGATTGCCCTTGACACTTTGACGCATGCTTCCTCTCAGGCGAATGTTGCTGCACTTAGCCACTCAGGTTAGTCTTTCTCATCTATCGCCTTGGCTGTCGTGAAATAATCGAGGGTTTTCACATGAGCCAACACTGCAGCATTATACTGATTCGCCTTGCACTTTCACGCTCCTGTGTACAATATAGATAAATTAAACATTAGGACAGACAAGGAAATGAAACTCTGAGATTATCCAAGTTTCATGGTTGATATAACGTGATTATTCAAAGGTTTGAATGTGTTGTTTGAAAATGTGTGCAATTGCAACCAGAATATAATTTTCCTGCTGTCAATTTCACGGCTAGTTATCAACCAATCATAATTTACTTGCTTAAGTGAAGCATTTCAGATAGTCTGACATGAACAATTTATTTTAATATATGATGTGCTTTCTTTCAGGCACGTTGCCGCACTCGTTTCGCGATCGTGCCGTGAATCAAGAAGACTCTGTTTTTGCCAGGGTTGAAATCGGTCCACTTCCAACAGGTAAGTTTCGTTTATGGATTCGTTTTAACAGAATAATAAATAACTCCATCAACATTTCAGACTTCACTGCACATTAAATTCTTATTCAACTTCTGCAATGTCGAAAATATTCTGATCATGAACTCTCTTACAAAGTCGGTGCAGAACAAAAATGTTGCACCCTAGGCCGTCAAGAGAGCTAACTTTTTGCTTATGATTCCTTCTACCCGTAAGACACTCAACCCAAATCACCTATTCGTAGCCAATCTGTGAACAGCTGCGTCCAGAAATACACAAATTCTTAAATTTAAGAAGTATTTGAGGAGTACAACAACGTATTAGCAGCTCAAGTTAAAATGCTTCAGTTAATTTTATGTGTGAACTTATTAATTAAAATATTCATTATTATGATAAATTATTATTATATATTTATTAAAATATTTAAATTTCAAATTTAAGGAAACCTTATGTATGAGTGAGTGTAATGTATCTGAAATATCAAGCTCACCTATTAGCCACAAGGATCACTTCTTTCTGCCTGCAATTAGTATTAATGAAAAGGCTCATCGTAAGATTATTTCTTCGTTTTGCAGGCATGGCTCGGCTAGGAGGGGATACTTCTAGTGTCATTCTTCCTCCATTCTTGCCCCCTCCCCCGCTGACCCCCGGCCCCCTAACTGGTGACGCTGCTCCCCCACCTCCTCTCCCCCCACGAGTGCCGCCACGGCGAAGAGAAACTTCCTTAGGAGATACATCACCCAAGGTGAAACAGAACATAACAATTGAGAAACTATATATTTATATGAATAATAATTTGTTCATTAAATCATTTCAGGTTACCACATAGACCGTCTCATTAGAACACATAAGAATTTAGACTTATTCTTTTGCTTTAATGCACTGGAATTTCCTCGCTCAAACACCAATTGTATTTCGTTCATATAAGTTTCAGTAATTTCGTTCATAAGTTTCAGTAATTGATTTTGATCAAAAGCCAGAAGCGTAGTTTCCATTTATTCATCTGCAGTGTTCGAATTAGTTCGATTTGGCATGGTAAGTCTTTTCTTATTTCGAATTTAAGCTTTAATTATCAAGTTCAACCCAAATTACATTGATTTAATTGAGATAGGTCATGTTATAAGCGCTGAGTATTGGTTTTTAGTCGTTTTTCTCATTAAAAAAGCAATAATATTATTGAAATATTTAATGTTGTATTTTTTACTACTTGTAGTTTATCACCAAACTATCCACTCAGGTACAGCAAGCTCCAGACGCCCCTGAACTCCCCCCACGCGACGTGACTCCCCCTCCCCTGCCTCCACGGACAGCTACACTCTCCCACAAGCACCACCCCCCACCCCCATCTTCAGCTTCCCACACCTCCACTACTCACTTCTCATACAATCCTCCCGTGCTTCCACCTTCTGTACATTCCACGCACCCACCACGGCCTCTCCACCCTCCACCATATCAACACAGGTCTGCCTTCCCGCCGCTGCCGACGGCACACCACACCAGCGGCAGCTCGTCATCATTCCACTTACCTTCCCAACATCACCCACCTCCTCCCCCATCACCACACCACCCTATCGTAGACGGCAACTCTTCCATCAACGACACGGCAGCTTTATCGAACCTTCCGTTGACGCGGCGGCGAACTCCTTCCATAGACCTGACGGCGCCGCCGCTGTCCCGGCGACACACAACCAACGGAGGACCGCCGCTCGATGACGGACCGCCCACGCCGCCTCCACGGCTACCGCTCCTACTGCGTCCAACGTCTGCGTTCGCTGAGCAGCAGATGTAACACGCGCAGCTGCCAGTGTTGCCACGGCTGTAAGACGCGCAACTGTCGATGCTGGATCACACAGAGCCGTTGTGTTATTACTGCTGTTGCACACGAAGCTGCCAGTGTTGTAGTTGCTGTATCATAGAGCTGTTGTGTTTACCGCCACCTATGTAGCACACACTGCTGTTTGTCATCACTGCTCCTAAAACACAGAGCTGTTGTCTGTCGCCTAAGCTGTAGAACACAATCTGCTACGAGTGTTGTCATTGAAGTAACTCACAGAGCAGTTTGTGTGTTCTCACAGCTATAACCCCTATCCAATAGTTGCCATATGCATGCAAACTGCAGCTGTGTGCAGTGAAGCCATCATGCATTCTCTCGACATTTGTACTGTATCCTATGTCATATACATTGCTTCTGTTGTCGCATGCTAAATCTTTGACACGTTTTCGCTGAAAAAAAAATCTTGCCTGTTATTTTTCACGATTTTTGTTGATTTTTAGCTCATGCGACTCTCCATACGTTTTACCGACAATGAATCATGTGTACGTGATGTGAATAATTTATTGTAAAACGGTGTTTTTTTCGTTAAACTTGCTTTCAGTACATTGAAATCAATCGGTATAATATGTCAGCTATTATAATTATTTAATTAATTCGAAGTTTTCATCCTGAATTTTCGATGAATTTTTATATTGTAAGAATCCATGATCTCTGTTGCAGAGGTCACTCGATCTACTCGTTATCTTTGTGCCGTCTCGAAAGATTATTGTTGATTTTTCAGTCGTGCAATATGGTGGTGTGTTCTGATATCGCTGCGTTACCAGACTTCTTAGTCATGCTTAAATGGCGATCATGTTTTCCGTCTGTGCATCCGTTCTACTGCCCATTATTACTTATTGCTCTGTTGTACACAATTGCTTTCCTTACGTACCTGATATACCTTTACTTAACAATTTCACGGACCACATTTATGTTGCCTTCGGTTGCTGAAATACCTGCAATTAGTCGCGTCAAATAAGAGGTTGGTTCTATTATCTTTTAATATTTTCTGCGGAAGTTACCACATGATTACTATTCCACATCCGTTGCTTAGTATGTACCTTCAACTCGTATTTCAGCTTTTTGCACTGGCATAATTTAATTTTGAGATATTTTTTCACGAATTTCATTGGCAAACGGATAAGAGAATTGCTATTGAGTTCCAGCTGGCGAAATGAAGCCATAATTGCGAACGTTTGCACCTGTGCCGGCCTTGCATTTTATTTCATGACAGTCATGAAGCGCTTTTGAGTTGGCGCTTCATTGGCGAGATCATATTTCCACGTAAGAGGTTCTTGCTGAACTAAATTGTAGTTCTGCTGAAAACGTTGTCCGCTTACTGCGACCTCGAAATATCCTCAATATTAATGCTTTAAATCCTGATTGATAAAGTCGACGTTGCACAACCCCCTTGCGTATTGTGATCTCGGCAGGTTATCCTTCAGGTCAGTTACCAACTTGATGCGTTCACTCTATACCATTAAAGAACCTTCCCATGGTTGGCATTTGTGATATTCTGTTGACTAGTCTTGATCAATGTCAACCGCCTTGCGGTTCAGGCACGCGCGAAGAGGTAGGGCGCGGCTCCTCATTAACAATTATTTCACTGGTCCGCGTGAAATAATTGCTCATCAACGAGGTCTTGAATTTTCAACTTGAAAATCAGAATATCTGCACAATTCGAGAACTTTCAACACGGGTTGAATGTAGGTGCTGTACAGCTACCCTTTCCCATCACTCCTCATGCCATACGCTACAATTTAAGATCAATATTCCTACATACATATTAAAATGCTATTTTAGATTAGAATCCAGATAGTCTGTAAATATTGTACAGTTGCCCGCAGTTCTTGGTATACTGTGGCGTCATAGTTAACTATAGTCATGGAGGATTACTACGTAAAATTCCCTGAGCCATGTCAGTAAAATGTCGACTACAATCGAGCTTATAGAAATTAACCCTAATTAATGTTCCACGGCATGTCATTGACTGCAGACATTCTGGCGATGATCTCGTGTTTCGAAACGATTCATCACATTGATTCGCCTATAAGATCACAGCCCTTGGCATGTCGAACATTCGAATACTTCCCAGGACTTCCTTGCCGTCTGAATGCTAGAATCGATTTACCAGTGCCAGGCAGCCTATCATTTTCATGACATGAAAAAGACAAGAACCGATAAGATTATCTAGAAATGAAATTGTACACCTGCTGTGAAAGTCGTGAAATAAACGGTAGCATAAACTGTGTTAACTATTCTTAAACTTTAAACGCCGTTACGATTGAAAATTAAATAACCGATGTGTTAAAGAGATTTTCGGTACCTAAAATACTAGGTCCGTAACTATTTGCAGATCAGTATTTCTAAAGTAGTATTTCTAAAGTAGTGGTATGGAATGAAAATCACGCTCGACGCGAAATAAAGAATATTTATTTCTTCTTGGAGACACCAACAGTCCTGCCCCTGCGGCCGGTGGTCTTAGTGTGCTGACCGCGCACACGAAGGCCCCAGTAATGACGAAGACCGCGATGCGCTGTGATCTTGATTAGATGGTCGAGATCCTCACGAAGCTTACCTTCCAGGTTAGCAGCAAGCACCTGTAGCGGTATGTAATTAATTTAGTGCATCCGCATGAAAACAATAAGCGAAATTATCCAGTTTAGATCGAAGCGGATTGAGCAGCAGTAAGTTATCATATCATCCAGGATATATAAATTCAACTCTCGGAAATGTGAACATAAAAATGCATTAACTGATAGAACTAGATCAGAGAAAGGAAACAACTTAGAAATGAGACAAGATTCTAAGTGTAAACAAGAACAAATTAACTTGCGTAAGGTTCAAATTTCAATGGAGTGGCAGCAACAACTAATTTAGGATATGGCACACAAACTTTAGTGTTTAAACTCAAACAAAAGCTCGCAAATCACCAAATGATTCAAGAGTGCAGAAAATATTAAGATATCCACACATTTCAAACAGAACGCGAAAGAAAAACGTCAAACCTGGCCGTATTTGCCGTCCTTGGCATCCTTCTGTCTGTTGAGGAACCAGTCAGGGATCTTGTACTGACGAGGATTGTTCATGATCGTAACGACCTTCTCAACCTGAAAATAATAACCGTAATCTTAACATCAAAAAATGTATTCGAACGAGCCTGAAATTGTGAAAATAGTGATGCAGATTTGATGAAACCGTCTGCCGAAATTTCGGCCGTCGACAATCATAAACGCGAAATTAAGTTGATCATTTTAAACACTGTCTGCAACTGCTAAGCAAAAGTTCACAATTCAATTCGAAGTGTCTGTGAGAAAATCACACTAATTATTTGCATTCAAATGTCATGTAAGCATTCTACAGTGAACAGTTATAGCGAAAGATCGTTGTGAATGCCTGTTTATTCTCACACCAACAGCTCAACTCTCCAGCAGAGCTGCAGAGCCTCTTGGTGGTGTGGCATGGTTAACCCAAACGATCATTTCAAAATAGCACATGATAAATCTTGTTTCATGACTAATACATCGCAAGAGAAATTACTTCACACTAAGTCATAGCAAAATACGACAATGTGCCTTCCAAAAAGGTCGCTTCTTCAAAAATAGAAAAAACGGTAGCCAGGAGGTTAATTTGATCTAGCACACTATGACACCAACACAAAAATCTCTGTACTGGCGCTAATAGGTGCAATGCACATGATTCAAGAACAAAAACATTTGGATAAATAATAAAAAAAATCCTTCCAATCCCCAGAGATATAACTTTGCAAAGGAATATTCAATTTATAAAAGAGGACATAATCGATACACTACCAACTTCCCGTTATTACAAAGCAATTTTCACGTTTTATCTCAAGGTGCACAAATGCCTAGCCCAAATAACAACAGGATAATACATACAACTCCTAATTTAAATTTTTACGAAACCAACATTACAATGCCTAACAAGATACAATACATGGAATCAGTTCCTGAAAGATATTTCTTCCAATGGCAACTCGAGATATGGCATTTATTGACAACCGGATGAGTGACAATCTCCTTTAAACCTAAATTAATAGCACATGTATCAATACCACTGCTTGGCTTCAGCCAGGTTCATTTTTTTTAATAAACACACCACACGATATAATATACATGCGCGAGAGAAATGACGAGAGTGACCAACGAGTCGATCTAATATATACATGAAGACTTTCCTTCTGGTTAGTTTTGTAAGTAGTTGAATCTGAGGCAAAGAAGTTCTCGATAATTGCACTGTGCCATCCAGTTAGGTCGCACAATCAATTAGTGAAAATACGGTAGCCAGGTGGCGAGTTTGATCTTGCACACAATCGACACCAACACACGCGTTCATGTCTTGGCTCTAATAGGTGCAATACATAGTCATAAACAGAACTTGCAGCATTCTACTTACTTCAGAAGCAAACTGACAAAAAAGCGCTGAAAACAACTTATTCATGAGATTCCGCCATGCAGGTAGGAAGCTAGTTCCAATATTTATTCCCGTTCACACTTTGTGTGGGATAATATCTTCTAATTACGTTGATAACCTTTCTGTGGGCAACTTTATTATGTCAGCAGGCTGCCAACAGTAACTTTGCCGTCTTTATTCTCACACCAATAGCTCAACTCTTTAGCAGGGCTGCAGAGCCTCTTGAAGGTGTGGCAGAAATTAAGAAAGTTACATAAATGATTAGACCCACGGCACCGAGGATTTATCAGAATAGACATTCTACTGAAGTCTTGATTGGTCTTCCAATTATATCGCACACTTCGTCAGTGGTAGCCCAGAAGCGATTATGATCTTGCACACCCTAATAAGTTATTGCCTTCTGAGTTTAAAGCTGTTCCTAATTTTCATTTACTTAGAATTTAATTGTGGAACATCACCGTCTTGTTACAGGCGAATAACAAAAGTCACTGCTATTGACAACAGTTAATATGTCAGCAGGCTGTCAGCCATGACTGACGTAGTCCCCTTTATTCTCACACCAACATACCAACTCTAAAGCAAAGCTGCAGAGCCTCCTGAAGTTGTGATAAAATCAACCGAGATCATTTCAAAACAACCTTTGAATAGTATTTCTTGCTTCATGACCAGCCCATCACAAATAAAAATTATTTCAAACTAAATTGAAGCAAAATAAGGAAATAAGCGAAATTATTCCATGTGCCTTCCAAAAAGGTCGCTTCTTCAACATGTGGAGAAACGGTAGCCAGAAGGCTAATCTGATCTTGCACACTATGACACCAGCCCAAAAATCTCTGTGCTGGCGCTAATAGGTGCACGCACATTTTCCCAACACGAGAACATTCAAACTAATAATCCAAAAAATATAATTTCCAACATCATGAGCTAAAACTTTACACAGATAAATAATTATTTTATGCAATAATTATTACACTATTAATAAGCTGCCCATACATAATAATAAATTTTTCACTTTTTAACCAAAATTTGAAAAAATGCTCTAGTCGTATTAAAACGGGATAATTTTTACATCTCTAAGTTTTCATTTCAGAAATACCACTACGATGCAAAACAAAATCTGATCCTTTGAAGCAGTTTCTGAAGGCAAATTCTTCTGAGAGCAACTAGTACAAGACCTGGAATTGATTTGCCACCAGAGGAGTAACAATGTCATTTAAATTTACAGCGATAGCACAGCCAGACATGAATGCAAACAGCAGTTGAACACCATCTGCTTAAGCCTAGTAATCATTTTAATTCAATAAAAGACATACCACTATATGGTCACAAGAGAAATCATTTAAGTGAATTCAATGAATTAAGCTATATTGAATCCTTTTCATTACTTGGGTACGTAGTTGAATCTATGGCAAGTAAAAGTTCTTATAAATTCAAATGTGCCATCCAATTAGGTCGCAAAATCAATTATTGAAAATACGGTAGCCAGGTGGCGATGTTGATCTTGCACACAATCGACACCAACACACGCGTTATGTCTTGGCTCTAATAGGTGCAATGTATGAGGTTGCACATACATACCGTACCAAACTTACAGCATTCAACATTTTTCTGAGCAAAATGACAAAAAATAAAAATTCTGTAACATAAATGAGATTTTACCTCCTAAGTATAGAATGAATTTTAATGTTTATTCTCTTCAAATCTTCCTGATATTTCTGTAGGCAACTTAATAACGTCAGCTATGCCAACAACAACAATTAACTTTGCCATATTTATTCTCACACCAATAGCTCAACTCTACAGCAGGGCTGCAGAGCCTCTTGAAGGTGTGGTAAAGTTAAACCGAATAATTATATTTGCTTTTGATTCCATTTAATAATTTACCACCACAAATTCAATTGATTGAAATGGCTTAGAACAAGCAAATATCCAAGATTTTTTTTACAATAACGTAAAATAAACTTGCGACTTCCAAAAAAGTTACTTCTACAACAATTGAAGCAATGGTAGTCATTAGGCAGTATTTTGTCTGGTATTGATTGATTCATCTAACAATACCAGAACCAACCATGTCTGCTCTAGTGCTAAATGCAGCTTATTTGTACATATATCTTAAAAAGAGCTGCAATTGTACTATTGTACAATTCTCCATTTGAGAATGATCTTGGGGCCTCTAGTAAAACTTTCCTATCTGATTTAAAAGGTAAAAATAAATAGGATTTTCAATCAAGTCACTGACCAAAGGAGAAAAATCATTAGAATAGTTTACACTCAACAGATTTCAAGCTACTCAAGTAATTTTCCAACTATTTTCTTAGAAATTATAATTACCTCTTCTTCAGTGAGTTCTCCTGCTCTCTTGTTGATGTCAATGTCGGCCTTCTTGAGAACAATGTTGGCATAGCGACGACCAACTCCTTTGATGGCAGTAAGGGCAAACATAACCTTCCGCTTGCCATCAACAGTGGAGCTCATCAAACGCAAGATGTGCTGGAACTTGTCTGGGATAATCAGCGACTGGAAGAAAAATTGTAAATCAAAAATTGCTGTTAGCACAGTACTGTGAATAGTACCAAGTTTCTACCCTATATTATACAATTAAACACCAGTTTTACCATATATATAGTGCAACTGTGCAAGCCTCTAAACACTTTACAATTTTTTTTCATCAAGAATTGTACTTGAAAATTTCCACTGAAAATTGAGTCTTCCATTACTCTATATATATATGCTCAATGTCTTGATATAAGCTGTCATAACATGCTCCATACATCTCAACCACTAATACATTATGTTCTATTGACAAAAAGACAAAGAAGCAGCAGCCACCCTTTCTCAAGAAGAAGCCACCTAAGCAAGAGACAAAAAGTCCTTGCTTGCAGCCTTGCAGTCATTTTTACGCATTCCTACATTCTCTCGGATTTCCTTGATTAGATTTTACTGCTGTAAGCAAGCTGCATTGCATGATCACTAGTCACAACTATGAAACCATTAAAATTCATTAGACCATGACAGGTTTGAGCAGGAGCCTGGCTGCATCCTGCTATTCCTGCATGAATGTAGGTATGTAGCAACTAGCAGAAGACCATAGATACTAATCACTATTGACATAAACATTTAGTGCAAAGAATTTTTTAGAAGAAAAAAAGAAGGAGAAAGAAACTACTAGTCCTAGACCATCTAAAATCCAATTTTTATAATATAATGGTTTATAAGCTGTGCAATTTTTTAATTAAATCAAAATGCAATAGTTAGGAGCCACATGATTTCTATTTTCTGATTCAATTAAAGGTTTGACTTTGCCCACTATGAAACCACAAGATTTATGGAAAAATATTTATTCCATCCTTTTCAAGAGGTAGCTAGCTAGGTAGGGTGCATTTATACAAGAGTGACAATATAAACACAAATGAGATTTTATAGAATCCAGTTGATTAGGTAGGCTAGGCATACTGGCAAAGCAGAGAGTTTTTTAGACTCTCCCTCAAGTTCATTTTTGAGTCCTATAAGTAGACCAGTAAAGTATCCTGGATACCAGCAGGCATGGAATATATCTACTTGGCGAGCCGCGACTGAATTTTTCGAGCCGTGGTTTTATGGATTTGCCAGCCGTGATTCCATTTCTACGAGCCGTGATTCTATTTCACCGAGCCGTGAATTCCATATCTCAGCCATGAAAAGCCATTTACAAGGTGCGAATTTATTTACAAAGTCCATGCACGTGTTACCCCAAATCTCTAATTTTACCCTTAAACAGTCAAACGGCAACAATAAAATTTGTCTCTACTGTAAGTTCAGCACGTGTTAATACAGTCTGACCGCTTTGACATGACCGCAACTATGCGCGATCTTCAACAAAACGTTTCGTTGATTTGTTTACATTACGATGTTTATGTTTTTTTTCTGCAAGATATTTTTGGCAGAAACGATAAAGCAATGCGGATTGCGGAAGTTGAAAATTTTATGAAATGACATGTTTGCGAAGTACAAACCGCGATTTTTTAATCAAACAAAAATTTATGACATTCGAGCCACGAGATTTCATACCTACTGAAAGTATATGATATGAGAGCCACGATATTTCAGACAAAAATAGGACTTTTCCAGACTAGGATACCACTAACCAGCATTATCATACTTAAGAAATTGGTTTAAATCTTGAGTAAATGAGGAAATTCAAAATGAACTGATTCTAAAAAAGCTCTGGTTTGCCACTATGAGGCTAGCCTGGCTAGGTACTAGTGTACTACATCTAGGTAGGCTAGCCTAGGTAGTTGGAAATTTTTAGGCAAAAATTAGGCTATTAGTAGGACCTTTTAGGATACTATTGCTGCTGCTTTCTGGTTTCTTTGAAACTTTACTGGTCTTCTCCGTACTCATAGGAGTCAAACATCATCAATAAAGCATCTGTTAACCTGTCCCAATTTTAGCCTGAATCTGCAATACTATCAGGCAGAATTTTTTGAGCAGATTGGAAAATTGAGCAGAAAACGCCCACAAGTCCAACAAAAATGTCCCGAGAATTTAGCCAATTTCACCCATTTCTATGGCCTTTACCAATTTCTTCAGTGAAAAATAAGAAAGACGGCCCAAATCTATAAACGATTTTGCTAGTAACCTTGAGTAATTGATGCTAGTATCCAGCTGGGAGTTAACTCTTACGAACCGTATAAATAGAACGAGCTGATAAAATATTATTCAAGACGCTCAAGTGAACGACACCAGTAATTAGAACACCAGAAATTAAAAAAAAAAACACGAATACATGTTAAAGTCCTACAAAAGCAATATGATTACTTACCATGGTGCTAAATTTACATATATCAATCCTACGAAAAATTTCTAGACTTTAGAAGCCGCTCAACCTTCGCCACACGAAAACATCAACACTGAAGGAATTTAAAATGTTGCCACAACGAACAACTGGAGAAATTATGGGGTCAGACGAAGTTGATGCAATCGATGTAGATAATATTATTCTACGTGCTAGTAAATCATTGATATGAATGTATCACTGATGGCGCAGTATAAATTAAATGCATTTTATAAGCCTTTTTTTAAACGATTGCATGCATGTTTCCTTCAAATCTCTCCCACAATGCAATAAAATAGGGAAAGGTCACGATGAAATTAAAAAAAGACTCATTAATATGAATGCACTTCCAAGAACATATCATATACAACATTCACAATTTACCCAAATTTTAAAAAATAAAATTGTTCAACTATGGTAAAGCTAGGTTAGATTAGGTTAGGTAATAAGAGAAGTAAAAAAGCTTCTATGCAGCGTGAATTACCGATTTACAGGTCTTAACCTGAGGTCGGTCAGCACGCACCCAATTGCATTCCATTCCATGGATGATTTTTTGGTTATTACGCACATCATCATGACCTAAACCAAAAACAGAACACAACATTTCCCTAATTATCCTAATGAGAATTGCAAACTTTATTAAGTTATTTTGCTAAAAAAAAACAGCTTAATTAAGAGGTTCCAAATCCAAGATCATTGTACCTCGTTGAATTCTGCAACCTTACTTGGGAAACTACTTTGATAGGTTAGCGTCTCACTCAGTTTATCCATGCAATGTAAAATTGTAGTATTTTATGTGCCACGAGTCATTATTGACGAACTTTCAATGCGGACAATTGAAGGGTGGCCCAGTGGTTACAGTTCAGAGTACCAAGATTGGAGCAGAGAGGCGCGGGTTCGATCCCAGCTCTGTGTGACAGTTTCTGGTCAGAATCGGCAAGGAGGCCGGGCGGTTAAAAGACAGTAGAAAAATTGTATCAGTGAAGTGCGAGTTCGAGACCGCAAAATGCTGCGAATTTTCTGCAATGTTAAGAATCGGCAACAGGCCTACTGCGTAACAAACGCTGAAACCGCTATTATTATTATTATTATTATAGGTAGCGTGTGTTGCAGATTGATCACACTCGTACGTAAATGATCCGACGAATGCAAATACGTTTTGTAAATTTTTGTTAGATTATCAAGTCTAAAAAATTACTATTGCATGAGCTTAAGACTTGAACTTTAATATCGAATTCTCTGACTTGTTATGTTCTCGGACTTGAAATGTTACTACACTATCGCAAGTAGGCATCCTTTTACAACTGTAGTTTTTTAAGACTTTGGGCGACTTGTAATAAATTCTGTGAACGATAAATCGTTGCGACTTCATCACCTCGTAGTTTTCAATAGATAGCATTAACCGTAAGTTACAAAGTTCATACCAAGAACTCGGTACGTTGCCCATGCCATTTGTTTCTTCAGTACTCCTGACTGAAGCACCAACAGAACTGAAGACACTTGACGTTATAATTTCATGATAACCTCCAGTTACTACCTGATAATATCAGAGAGGAAAAAACAAAAACGAAAGGTAATGGACTAATTTTAATATATCATAACCGTCGATTACATTTTGTTGTTACAAAATTCACAAATATACACACGAAATATGACGAAAACAATCGGCAACATGTGCTCGACAAACTCCCAACATAAAAATTGCATTTTTATCTCATTCATTTATTCGACAGTTATCAAAACGAGATAAAGGCTTATTGAAAGAACGAAATTTCTGAAACGGAGACTTAATGTAATAATCTTACTTGCGACTAATGCACCTGCATACACGAACAGAGATATGGCAACTAAAAAGTAGAATTTTAATTAATACAATACACGTACCAGGGCAATTTTCATGAAGAAAAGAACAGGTTTCTTCTGCGTAATTACTCAGAAAAAATTAATATTAGGGCACCAAATCAATGGTTGTACAAAGTTCACCTCAACGCTATTGCCCATCCTTACTCTAATCAGAACAAAATAATCATAAATTAATCTTCCGACCTGAGCTAGTGACTAATTATTTACAACATGAAATTATGAAACAAACAAAAAATCTGATACTGTCGCACACACTTTCGAGATGGAAACGCGGTAATGACATCCATGCATTCTGATTATATACTTGGATATGATATATACAAAATGATTGGTAAACACAGACAAATAACTTCTGAACGAAACTAAGTCTCTACAAGATTAAGATATATGGGCCTATTGAATATGGGCTTCCTATTGAGCAGATGCACAGCTTTTTCGGCGTCCTCGGGAGTGTTAAAAGCTACCCGTGCGTCTGATGTTGGTTGGTTATGTTCATTGTAGCGCCTAATGACGTTATCTGGAGACACGCGCGGGAATTCCCGTGCTAAGAAATGTAAAATATCCTCAGTTGAGGCGTTGAGAGGAAGGTTAGAGAGAGCAACTACGCAACCCGGACTCCCAAACTGTTCAGGAATTACTTCTCCTTGTTTAGGAGCCGGAGGAGACATACTGCTAGAGGAAAGATCGGGAGACTCGCGAGCTTCTGAAGGCTGACCAGAAGGCCCATTTGTTGGAGTGTCTAAAAGAGGCAGTCGATTAGATCGAGGAGGCATTGCATTGTCAGGTCGGCAGTCATTATCTGGGTCGCTTTTCTTGATGAGTTCCAGCGGATTGAAGGGAAGTCCCATAGCGTTCATTACTTCTGGCTTTGCAATCAATTCTATACGCACGGGAGCAGGCCCAAGTAATTTTCCCGACTTCCTCAGCGCTTGCTTAGCGTGTTGGATTTTAGGGAAGATCACAAAAACGCGCCCACCAAATTTCGGGTCGTAAGGAACGAAATGCACGTGCTCGGGCACCAAGCCCTCGTCACTGAAGAAATCAACGACGTTACAATGAGTAGTGCCCATTTGTACGTCATGAACTACGACACTGTCGGTCAAAAGATCTTCATCAATGGGTATTCTTTTACGAGGAGGTTCTTCCTCATTTTTGTTCTCTTGAGGTCGTTTACCCTCACCGCTACCTTGTGGTACTTTTTGAGGGTGCGCTGCTGGCGTGGCTAGCAATGCGCCTTTTCTCCCAGGAATAGACTGCGTGTTGTTCATTGGTTTCGTCATGTCAGCGTTGTGCCTGCCAGACATATCACGCCGTCGGTCCATGTTTTCGATATGCGGATTCGGTCCATTTGAATCTTCAATAAGATGCCGCTCAGCTAGTTTGATAGTCGATTCTTCGACTTCAGGGAACATTGCCTGACGAAGGTGAATGACGTTCCCTTCAATTTCCATTCCTTGTGACTCGTTCACCAAAACGTGTGCTTCATCAGGACATGAGAGTCTCATGAAAAAACCACCAGTTGCCTTTTTGGTGTTAGGGTAAACTTCTCTCAAAATGTCGTTGATGTAAGAGTTGCTAAAGATATTTGCGACATCGTCGACAGTTTTGTTCGGTGGCATTCCCATAATGTGCACCCACTCAGAGGGCATGAAATTACCAGCGGGAATAGGCTCAAAAGGAGGACGATGTTGTCGTAAAACCGACTTGAAATCTTCATGCTTGTCGTAAATTTCTTCGTCGATTAGTCTAATCTGAATTTTTTGTTCGCATATGAACATGCCGTCTCTCCTGGCGGCTTCCATGGCGTCTGCGACTGTATTGAATCTTACGAGAGCCACGCCAATCTTCATCCCATTTTCGTCACCCAAAAGTTTAATAGAATCGTGTGGCACAAAGATACCATAAAAAGAGTCCCGTATCATCCTATAGCCAGCAAAAAGTGGCAAGTTGAGAAGTTCCACGCTGCACGTTTGAGGACGACCGCCCACAGGCGAAGTTCCTCTAGTGTAACCACCACGCATATCATAGCCACGAGGAGCGCCTCGACCGCGGAAAGCTCCTGGTCCAGAAGGCGATCTACGAGGACCATCATCAAATCTGTTCTCCCCAGGAAATGAGGGTCGAAACCGCTCAGGCCCATCACATTCAGGGAAGAATCCATCCCCGCCATCGAAGCGACCAAAGCCCCGACGACGGCCACGCATCATACCCCTGCCCTCAAATCCGCCACGACCTCTCATGCCTCGACCAGCACCTTCAAATGGATCAGCAGGACCTTCAAGACAAGGCTCTTCCCTTGGCGGGAAGCCTTCAGGACCAGGGATGTATCGTTCAGGCATCCCAGGTTCGTCCCATCTTCGGTCGTCTCTGGGGAAACGTCCCGGAATATTGGGTTCATCTGAGAAGCGTTCCATACTTCCACTAGGCCTGTCCATGTTGTCATTCATGCGTTGCATATCCATGCCTCGAGCTGATGGCTCAAGATAACCAGGCTCGTCCATCCTTGGACCTCGTTGTTCTCGCATGAAATTATTTGGTCCATTTCTTGGAGGTGAGCCCCAACGACTGGGACCAGGGCCATCGGGACCTTCACGACGGGCGATCGGTCCTCTGTTGATGACATCTGGAGAACGACTCCTATTTTGGGGACGAGCTCTAGGATCACGTGAATCTTCTATACAACCCAACTGTGGTCGCTCGGGAGGAATGTCGTTTCGCATATAGGGATGAGCAACAGGGAACCTTTCCTTGCTTGACATTTCTGGTTTGTCCCAATTTTCAGGTTGCCTGAGAGGTCCACGCATATCGTCGCGGAAGTTTGAGTCCATCGGAAGACGACCAGGAAGAGGGAACGATTCAGCAGGTGCACTTAAATCGCTGGTTTTCCTTGGGTGGGATTCAGGCATTGGTTCAGGGATGGGAATCCCCCAGCGGTCTGTTCGAGGCACATTGTGTAGGGGAGCAACTGGAGAAACTGAACGAGGTGCATGCATGCGCGGATCACGATGCTGCGACTGCATTGGGCCAAGTGACTGCGGCGGCTGCTGCTGCAGCTGAGTACCTTGGGTATTTTTGATCATCTTCAGATCCATGCCCCACGCCTGTTCCATGGGCGAAGCTCCTTCTTTAAGAGACATTGATGGAACGTGCATATCTGAAGTAATTATTTCTTGCGATGGTGGTTTACCAAGGATTGCATTAGGAAGGCTTCTGGGCAACTCTTGGGGAATTTCTCCCAGTCCAGGAAGAGTTGCTCCGGAATTTTTGCTCGGCACAAGCAAGGCAGCCGGGGCAGAAGCTTCATTCGAAGGTTTATCATCAGAGGTACGTCTTTCGGAACGGTCACGTCCAGAAGAGCTGACACGGGACTTGTCCCGGTCACGACCACGGTCTTGTCTCTCCTTGCTGCGGCTGCGGCGTCTCCTCGTTGACCTATCACGACTACGTGATCGAGATCTGTGACGTCGTCGCCGTTCACGGGACCTTGAACGCGAGCGAGACTTGGAACGGCGACGTCGCGAATCGCGGTCGCGTTCATCGCTTATATCACGACCGTACTTATCTTTGTCCTTACTCTTGTCTTTATCCCTGCTGACATCTTTCTTCTCCGAAGAGCTTTCAGACCTTCGTGGAGACTGGTTGTTGCTGGAACTTGTTTTGGATCCGGAATGGGTGGAAGAATTGGGTCGGGATTTATCTGCAGCTGCAGTGACGGTAGGTGCGGTGAACGGCGTAATAGTTGAAGTGTAGGCGACTTTTTCAGGTGCTTGGCTCTCAGACTTTTTAGACGCTTTTAAAGCTTGTTGATACAGTTCCTTTTCGTCATATTCTTCGACCACCGACACGGGTACTTTCTGAGCTGTTGCAGCGTAAGGATTGGGGCTTTCCGTTGCATTGTTGGCGTTGAAGCCAAAAGGTACAGCGAACTGAGAGCTCTGAACCATCATTTGGCGGTTGTACATGGCTCCCTCTTGACCACCCACGACAGCGGGACCAGTCTTGCCGAACCCATTGCGCCAGCGCTGGGCCGCCTGTTCTGGCGAAGAGGCAAATCCAAAAGGAGCACTGAGCGTAGTGGATACCGACTCAGGCGTTTGAGGCGCTACTGCCGGTGATGGTTTGTCATACATTGATCCTGAATAGTACTGGCCCATGCCACCGTATTGGGGAACCTGAGGCTGTTGTTTCATGAGGTCAGGGTTAGTGTAAGCAACAGGTGGGGCTGCGACAGGTTGCTGCACTGCCTGAGGTAGCTGCTGTACAGAGGTACTGGCCACAGTAGCTCCAAAACTTTGCTGCTGCGCCATGGCTTGCTGCCTCGCAGTCTCAATAACTTTCTGCATTTCCGCGCGAGACGAGAGTAAAAGAACAACCTGGATGCCTTTGAGTATGCCATTGCTCTTTCGCATCGCAAGCCGAGCATCTTCGTCTGACCTGCTCATAGATTTAGTAGCATGAGTAAAGATTCTCGAACATCCAGTCAAAATTTACTGTATTATAAAACTTTAATGTCATCATCACGGTGATCAAAAATATGCCGCATATAATCAGCAACGAAGTGGATGTCAAGAAGTACTAATAATTTGTTTGTAATTTGTATCAAAAGCTTGAAAAGTATTCCAATATGCTTTTCAGTTAAATGTTAGATGTAAAATTAGCATTGAATCACAACAATAAATAGGAAATTCGAAAAGGTTACTCATTCAATCTTCTCATTTTATCGATAGACAATGTAGTTGACTAGCATACTAACTATACTCAGGGTATTCGCATTAGTTACTTATGAAATTTCCTTATAAATTCATAAAAAATGTTGCTGAGCTGCATAATAGTTCACGTACAAATTTATATCTTGCAGTTAACGTACTCGAACGAAATTCGTAGGAATAATTTTTAATGCTGAACCATCCCCGATTGCTGTAATCAAAATTATCCGTTGAAATAAATTTTTTCGGCCGACTCCTATAACATCTCACCCGAAAGCAATGAAGGCATCGCCTTGCTCGCCGCCGACGATGTGAACGCCTCCCTCCGGGATGAGAAGACCTTTGAAAAACTCGCGTATGTCGGAAGCGTTGGCTGACCACGGCAGATTTTGAAGACGGATGATGACACTCATGATGGTGATGTTGCTGCTCGAGAAGTACACATCCTTATATCCTTGTCATAAATTTTATCAGCTGAGTAACACTATACATGGACTAGGGATTTGGGACAACAATTTTTTTTTAATTTGGACGAACTTAGGAGCTTATACTTCACTATGTATACATGGCGTGTAGCGTTATCGAAAAAAAAATTTTGTCATGGTTGCTTTTCATTACTAGTACGATGGAACGATGTACTAGTACATTACTTAACGATGAAAGTCGCAAACATAAATAGAAATTGGTACGCCGATCTAATTTTTTCCCTAAAATAAAAAACGCTCTAAGTTTTCAACGGCGCTGTATAGATAGATACTAAATTCGTAAGAAGTTAGTGGAAATTGTAGCAAAAGTTTTTTAAATTTATGCTCACAATATTACGCCACCATTTCAAAGCCTAAACATCATGAAAGTTAAGTGTAGGTTCTTCCAAGTGATTCTTTCATCCTACTTTGTTAACAGTAATCGTTTTGAATTGAGTCATAGCTATACCGGAAAGTTATATAAATTGCATTTTTATTCAGCACAAAGGTTTCACGGTTCGGGATTCGCAGTTTATCCTCAAAATCACAATGTAGAGATGTAATTGAATGGTCACTTGACTCGAATTGTTTAAGTCGTTAGTAATATATTTTAAGCATGCCATAGAGCATAAGAAATGTATTCCAATAGATTTGAACAAGATATGCCGTAATTTACGAGGATATTATTTATTAAGGTTATCACGGAAAAGTGATTGAAAAAACACTACGAGAATAATTGAAATTTTAAATAGGTGTGTGATTCCATAAAAAAAGACCGAATCGTTTAGTTTCCTCTTTTTAAGATGGGCATTCTCGGGACTTCTTTACCATTTGAACCTAGCAAACCTCACGACATGCGATGTAAAATGAATGCTATTGATAGAAAAATGATCTTGAATTCCAGTAGGCTTGACTACTAAGCACTCGACGGTTAGGTGTCGATGTTAGTAGTCGTTCCACCTACAAGCGCGGTGAGAACTATTCGTCGCGTTTCTTCCATGCATTAAAATGATCTGGCGTTAGCTAGGTAGCATCATGTGATCCTTGTCAATGCGTTCTGGGAGATTTGTAATTTTCTAACGCGAATCAAACGTTCAGCATATACAAATTGTGTGTGCTTTTTATTCGAAAAAGATGACATAGCCCACTGAGCAGCTACGGTATTAAATGCGAAGGCATTTACTTGACACATGATCAAAGTACATATTAAATCTTCTGTTAAATAAGCTTTCGGTAGAGGTACTCTTAAACTCGGTTGATTCGCGTGATCGCGGAAAATTGCTGCTTACGAGAAGGCATTTCTTCCAGCGCGGAGCTTATTACCGAATTCTAAGCCAGTGCGTAGAAAACTCAGTGTTCATAAAACCACTAGTACATAAATCAATATCAGCTTTCATTATAGCTTTAGTGTTATAATATTATGTTTAACCTGTAGCTACACGCAATAAAAAATATTTCGAGTGTGCAGACAGTGTCGTGTCTTTCGGAACGTTCCAACTCTAAAATAAAAAAGATATCCTTAAAAGATACAGCACGGCGACTAAGAATTGGATATTCCCGTGAGAGTGTATCACAATTATGCTCATGCATAATAGTCAAACGAGCATATCTGGATCAGCGATACCTGCATTAAGGCTCCTCTAAATCATTTCTCATTACCTCGCATATAGTACTTGAATCAAGAATCGGAGCCCAAAGTACAGATGTTAAGGACTTTCTCATGACGGAACAAAATTTCATCATGGTTATAAAACTTTATCACTTCAACTTAAGATAATTTCTGTATTTCATCATAGTCTATAACTTTTGTTTTCGTAAATTATAGTGAAAATAAATTCTTCAGAAAAACCAGTTTCATCGTATGAGATAAATATAATTGCAGAAAAATTTCGTAAGTACCAAAGCATTGTTTCCTTTCTACTACCTTCAAATTACGAGTGGTTAAATTGTATTTGTACAGATCATAAGCGAATTTAGAGCGCAAAATGGCGAGATAATTCTGCCTTGTCTCTGATAGCGAACGCTCGCAATGCCACAACATATTAGATACTCTTATCTCACGAATTAAGAAGGAAGCTTCGCATTATAATTGAGAGATCCAGAACATAGAATTGAAGAATGAGCAAAATTTAAGTAGGTTTTCGACGAAGCTGTCAAAATCACTTGCACTTCACAATAATTTGTTTAAATCTTGTGTTTTTCAGAAAATTGATGAATACCGGTATCGCAATATAGAAGCGCCACTAAGTTTCCAAATTTGCCTGCAAGATTTTCTTGACTTTTCTTTCATTTCGGTCTTTTCCGAACGGATTTTGAGATGTGTTTTCAGTACTTCACAGTTACACTGTAAGCATTCATCGATAACCTATAAAAAAGGAATACAGTCTCGCACTCAGGGAAAAATATTAGAGATTAGAAAAATTAGGTTTCAAAGCTTCAACGTAAAGCCGACCGTAGTTAATGACGAAATAAACTCGCTTCTTGCAACCGATTATTCATGAATATGATTCTAATCGTGAATACTGACATACTCGCTTGTAAAAAAAGTTAAAATTTACCAGATTAATCTACGAATATTACGCCTCTAATAAGAATGATCAATAACTTCTCGAAATCACTTAGACGATCTATCCTCAGCGAGGGCTTTTCATAATTTCTGTGGCAAGTGAGCAGCTTCAGGATACATCCAACGGGTGAGCTGAATTAATGCACTAAGTGAGGCGCACTTAGCTCATCCAATGGGTGAGTTGTGCAGAGTTCATTCAACGGTTGAGCTGTGCAGAGTTTATCCAACGGGTGAGTTGTGCAGAGTTTATCCAACGGGTGAGCTGTGCAGAGTTCATTCAACGGTTGAGCTGTGCAGAGTTTATCCAACGGTTGAGCTGTGCCGAGTTTATTCAACGGTTGAGCTGTGCAGAGTTTATCCAACGGGTGAGTTGTGCAGAGTTTATCCAACGGGTGAGCTGTGCAGAGTTCATTCAACGGTTGAGCTGTGCAGAGTTTATCCAACGGGTGAGTTGTGCAGAGTTCATCCAACGGGTGAGTTGTGCAGAGTTCATCCAACGGGTGAGTTGTGCAGAGTTCATCCAACGGGTGAGTTGTGCAGAGTTCATCCAACGGGTGAGGTGTGCAGAGTTCATTCAACGGGTGAGATGTGCAGAGTTCATCCAACGGGTGAGTTGTGCAGAGTTCATCCAACGGGTGAGTTGTGCAGAGTTCATCCAACGGGTGAGTTGTGCAAAGTTCATACAACGGGTGAGATGTGCAGAGTTCATCCAACGGGTGAGTTGTGCAGAGTTCATCCAAAGAGGTGAACTTTGCAGAGTTCATCTAACGGGTGAGCTGCGCAGAGTTCATCCAACGGGTGAATTGTTCAGAGTTCATCCAACGGGTGAGTTGCGCAGAGTTCATGAAACGGGTGAGCTGCACCAGGAATTGCCTTTCACCCAATGAGTGAGCGGCGCAGAGAACACCCAACGGATGAACGGTTTCATCCAATGGGTGAGCTGCACGAACTTCACCCAACGGCAGAACTGTTTCATCCAATGAGCAACCTGCACTAACTTCACCCAACGGCAGAACTGTTTCATCCAATGGGTGAGCTGTACTAGTTCACCCAACGGCAGAACTGTTTCATTCAATGGGTGAGCTGTACTATGTTCACCCAACGGAAGAACTGTTTCATCCAATGGGTGAGCTGCACTAAGTTCACCCAACGGAAGAACTGTTTCATCCAATGGGTGAGCTGCACCAAGTTCACCCAACGAAAGAACCGTTTCATCCAATGGGTGAGCTGCACCAAGTTCACCCCACGGCAGAACTGTTTCATCCAATGGGTGAGCTGCACCAAGTTCACCCAACGGCAGAACTGTTTCATCCAATGGGTGAGCTGCACCAAGTTCACCCAACGGCAGAACTGTTTCATCCAATGGGTGAGCTGCAGCAAGTTCACATAACGAAACAACTACACCGAGACAGTGAAGCGGGCGAATCGAAATTATAAACTCTCCAGTCGACGAGTTGTGTACAAGCACGTTTTTTCTCTATGTCGAGTTCCTTTGATTTTTTCCAGATAATCAGATATTATTTTCCTTTGCATATTTGGTCTTCATAATTTGTTTCACAACTTTTATACCATATTCAGCATTAACTGAAAATTGTGGGAGCATTTCTTTTATACAGCAGCTTTGTCCTTGTTTTCTTTGTCCTTGTCCAACTTCGGTGTGCATTACTCACATGGTAGATCATTTCAACTGCGATATGTAAATTTTCTACCTGTATTCATGACATTTCACTTTCATATAAGAACTCAAGTTTCATTCACTACGATTTATTGTCCCAGCCAAACCTCAAAAACACATGTCGTCAGACACGTTTTGGCAAAGACAGCAAGGTTTACAATAACAATATGGTTTTCGCATAAATTAGACGACGTTCGATGACACTTGCAATGAACAAGACATTTTCAGCAGTCTTCAAGATACATTTATTACCGCAATGCTATAGCATTACGAGTTACCCATGCTGTTGATGCTCTCAAAAGTTTTGGGTATGCTATAGGTACCTTTCATCTCCGTCCACTGCTCTCAATCCAAAGAACAAACATTTCCATTTAATAGTCCAGAATTTTGTGTTCACATATTTCTAATGCCGAACCGAGCTTGTCAATCATGCTTTCGTCGATATGATGGCGTACCTTCCATTAGACGCTTTACGGTAGAAACATCCGAGTTTGAGACATTCGAAAAATACTGAAATGCAAAATAACTTAATACTCAAATTGATTACTTCAATGCCCAGACACACCCTACGGCCCACAGCATTGCATATATTTTCAACAGAATAGATCGGCGCTATTACATCTCAGCGTTTCAAGTTTGACTTCACACAAATTCTCATGGTGGTGCTGCGGTTTGTATGCATGTCCATGAATCTGCACTCGTCCTTTACGTTGTGATTGTC